TCCATTGAAATGAAATCACGATTAGTAAATTGTAGATACATATGTGTGTGTGTGCATCAGGTTTATTAAAAACACTATGATGAAGGGCGGAGAAACATGGCCGACGATACAGAGAGGAGAAAAAACAAAGAAACATTATGAGGGCAGCTTTTCATGTTGTCTTGAGTGTGAGAGTCACCTTCATGCAAAAACCTTGGAGCTGTCAGCAATTTGCTATTTTGTCTCTTTAGGCTCAGCATAGATAGTCCTCCTCAGGGTCTCCCTGCAGTCCCCGGAACCTGGACCACCTGCTTGGAGGACTGTAGCCTCTGTACATGGGGTGCACACATGAACCACTATGCATTCCCCTGAGAACTGGAGGATCGCAGAGTCAAGTCCTTGTGCGGACTAAAGTCTGGAGGTTGGTCTGGTAGCTGCAGAGGCCCCCCCCCCCCCCACACACACACACACACACACACACACTCTGACATCTCTTCATTAATGCACGTCCACAGGTCCTGTTTGTGCAGGTGTGTGATTCAAATAAAGGCAGTGACAGAGTTTAAGTCATCACACATTGATTAAACCTCTGAATTTAAGTTGATTCTAAAACATTTCAATAAAATCAAGTTATTAAAAAAAACATTTCCAGATCATTATCTGTTAATAATCTGCATGCTTCACGGGTCTGATTTGAAAGGCAATTGAACTTTTAAGACTTGAAGACGTGAATTATTCTGTCCTCAAAGAACTAACACTTGCTGTCACACTTCTAAAACTGAAACACAGAGACGGAAAGCAAAACACCTCAGGAAAGAAAAGTTGCACGTTTTGCACATTTCTTCTCCTTTTTTTCTTCTGGTGGCATGAAAACTGTCAAACTGAAACTGAGTCTGTGCACGTGACGTCGTCCATCGCCACATCAACAATCAGCAGCATCAGCCTGCGGGAGGCGTAATGAGTCTGCGCCTGTTTGTGTGTGTTTTTTTTTTCTTTCTCTAATGAAGAACGATGATCGGGAAAAGAAAACAAGCAACAGGAAGAAGAGAGAGAGAGAGAGAGAGAGAGAGAGAGAGACACCCCTCCCACCCTCCCTCCCTCTCTCTGGTGACAGAGGGTCTGACCACATCACTCGCTGCCTACTGCTTCCTGCCAACGGACGACCCTGACACACACACACACACACACACACAGCTGCAGATCTGTCCCACAGCTGTCGGACATGTTGATGCTCTGCGACCAAATGATTCTCTCTGCAAAACAACCAGAGACACAAAGAGTTGCTTCTTAGGAGGACAACACTTTGGCTCATGTTAGCATGTATAACCCAAAAACACACACACATGGACGCACACTTCTACGTGGGGGTTAATGCCGGACAGTGACGATTCTTTTAAGTGGCGTTGTTTTAAAATTCAAGACTCCAGAACTTATATCCTGTAAATGTTTCCTGTTACTTTTTATATTTGGTGGTTTTTCTATCTCATCTGAAGTATAAAAATCCATAGACTGTATATATTCAAATGGACAGCGTGCCCAAGCCTCCTCCTGTTGAACAGGATGAAGCCAGTCCCCTCCGTGCTCTGACATATTGAGAATGTTCAGGGTGATCTGCATGTGTGAACACAAACAGCCGAATCTTTCACTCAGACTTTACCTGGGTTTGTTTCTGCCAGCTCCTTAAAACGCTCTCAGCGTGAAGTCAGAGTGAGAACGCAGCAGGAAATATTCAGGAGACTTCCTGAAGAGTGAGTTGGAGAGGGAGGTGAAATTTTGTTCCTTGTGAGTGGTGAACAAACCAGAGACTCTCTCCATGTGACTGGAGCGATCCCTGTGCTCATATGAAGCGGCGTCTTCATGTGTTCTTTCCTCGCTCCTCTGCAGGGTCACCTGACTTACCTGCTGTTTTACCTGAAGTCACAAAATCAAAGCAAAAGGAAACATTTCTACAGTCACCTTTTACCCCCACAGTGGAAAACAAGCAACAAGCTCATCAAATACAGGAAGTATTCAAGGAAGAATCGAGCGTGAAAGCACGGAGGAGAATATTCTGCATCGCCATCATGTCTCCCCCCCTCCCACACGTCGCTGCCGATGCATTTCAATGTGAATGTTTGGAGACACAATTGCAGACAAAAACACACATTCATGAAGATTACTGTGTTTGCCATTCACCACACCAAATCCAAGCCAATTTAAGTTTCCCTCACTCTCCTTGAAGCCTGTGGCTGCGGGGTATCTTCAGTGGGGGGGGGGGGGGGGGTATGTAAGGGTAGTTTACTCCCCCCCTCCACACAAACACACAAAGTCACATTAAAATGTGTCTTTTTGTTTCTGCGGTGGCCCTGCATGCATGCCTGCAGGAGCCAGAGAGGAGAGACAAAGGAGGGCCCAGAGACCACCTGGGTCTGTGTTAGTTTAACAGAGGGCCTCTATCACACGCACACACACACACACACACGTAAGAGAGCACCGGCACAAACACACTTACTCCCACTCTGCCAGGTAGTTATTGGGGGAT